AAGTCTGGGGTGTTATGTGGCAGGTGCTTGTCTGTTTGAATTCTAAAGTCCCAGAACACTTCAGCTTCTTCATTTTCTATTGTTTTGTCTGTTTTGTGGTCCCCCCAGTTCTTCCTTGCAGGTAAATGGTATTTCTTGCAGATATTCCAGTGCACCATTGTTGTCACTTTGTCATGCTTTTGTTTGTAGTCACTCTGTGCGATCTTCTTGCAGCAATTAATTAGCTGGTCACCTATTTCTTCAGCTTCTTTGCAGAGGCAGCATTTGCTGTCTGTTGCTGTCTTTTTGATTCTGGCTTCGTATGCATTTGTTCTTAAGGCTTGGTCTTGTGCAGCCAGAATTAGCCCTCTGTCTTCAAGTGATGTTCCAGATGTTTTCGGATGATGATGATGATGATGATTATATTGGATAATCTGCAATTAGATTCACAGTCAAAGACTTAATAATTCAAATCCTAACCAAGGACCTAAGAATTATTAAAGTGATGTCTGAGAATATAGGCAGTTCCAAGTAGAGTTTTTTTGGTAAAATTCGGGTGTTCAGGTCTGATAAATTCAAAATTTCTAAATATGAAGGGAGACTTTCAGGTATTGCTCCAAGGGCCCCAGTTATGGCTGGTATACAGCAGATTTCTTTTTCCATAAGCGTTCACCTTCGATCTGCAAGTCCCAGTATTTTGTAATCTTTTCCAATTGCTTTTCCTCAATCCTAGCATCCCCCAGTATAGCAACATCAATGAACCAGACTTTCTTCTTTTCAATGGCTTTCATATCAGGCATGCCTGTCTGTTTGGATCTTAAAGTCCAATAAGATCTTAGCCTGTTCATTTTCCAAAATCTTCTCGTCTTGATGGTCCCAGTGGTTTTTGCTACATTGAGATCCAAATCTCTGGCAAAGTTTTCCAATTAATAATTTTGGCAACTAAGTCATGACACTGCTTATAGTCAGTTTGTGAAATCTTACTGCAACAACTGATCAAATGGTCAATTGTTTCATCCTTTTCACTAAAAAGGCAGCATTTGCTGTTGTTTGTTACATGCTGAATTTTCACTTTCATGGAATTAGTTGGCAAAGCTCGTTCTTGAGCTGCTAAAATAAAGCCTTCAGTTTCTTTCTTTCACACTCCTGAACTTAACCAGCTCCATGTGGGGGTTTTATCAGCTCTTCCTTCTACATTTTTCAAGTATTGACCGTGCATTGGCTTGTTCTTCCAATTAACAAATTGATTTTAATTGTTTTTCTATACTCAGCCTTCACCTTTGTTGTTTTCAAGAGCTTTCCTTGATTGACTTCCCTGAACAAGGGTTCTTCACTTTTCTTGATGTAGTCATTCAAGCCATGTTTTTCTTCTTTCACTGTTTGTTTCACCTGTAGGGGTTATTATTTTTGTTGTTGTTGTTATTGGTTGCACAGTCAGCAAGATGTTTAGACTGGATCTGGCATTTTTATCCATCTATTGAGTCCTTCCCAAGGACCTGGGATAGACAGATGTTGTTGTTTGATGGTGTTAAAAGTATCATTGTAGGGTGTAAGCTGTTTTGTTGTTGTTGTTATTATTAAATATTATTATACAATTAATTTGACCAAGAAACAAAATTCAGGTGATTTGGGGGCTAGTAGTAGACTTAACAGGTGAATTGGAAACAGATGTAAACTGTACCCTGATATTTATAGGAGATTGTCCTTATAAATGGCCATCACTATTAGGAAGAGGAAGGTAAAGCGTGCAGGGCACAATGAAACAAAAATACTGCCAATTTTCTACTCAACAGTTGGTCACCCAGTATTGTGTCACATGGGAAAGCTGTGTTAATCTATATTGGCAGAGAATCATGAGTCTGGTAGCACCTTTTCCGATTAACACATTTTATTGAAAGGCATAAGCTATGCCTTTCAATAAAATGTGTTAGTTGGAAAAGGTGTTACCAGACTCCTTCTGATCCTCTGTCACAGGAATCTTACCAAGAGGTTAAAGTTGCATTTGATTCCCTCCCGCCTTCTTCCAAGATCCCCTTCTTTGTTATTTATCAAATTCAAAGCAAAGAGTCTTGAGGTATCTTATACAGATTAAGGAATGCATTGCAAGCATCAAATTAGCAGAGACAATATTGTAAGCATCTCATTATTAGAATGTTGCTGTGCCATTTCACATACCAGATCTCTGCAGAGGTAATTTTTTTTCTGTAGTATGTGCAAGTTTTTTTTTTTTTTTGTGGTGGGGGGGAGTTGGTGGTGGGAGAAATTGAAATAATAAAGGAACTCAAAGATTATTAATATTTAAAGGCAGTAAGTAATTGGCCAGTTCACATATTTAAAGGGAATCCATATATATAAACCCACTTAGCACATATGAATTACTAGCTGGATTCAGAACTGTGGGAATACATGTATTTGATTGCATATCAAATAAAAGTAATACATTATGGGGTATATGCCTTGTACTTTAAAGTGTGTCTCTATAACGAATAGCAGGGATTTGCAAACACATATATCATACAAACACATTGGCCATAACTCAGTATAAGCTATGGTGTGATTCCTTCTAAAATTAGAACAATACCCAATTGGAAGAAATTTAAAAAAATTAAATGCATTTGTCTTTTTCTGTTTCATATGCATATATACAACTCATTTATTTCAATATTAAAGTGGAACAGATAACACTGTGTAGTAAGATGAAATTCAATCTTTTGACCAGTCAACATTAGGGAACCTAAGCAATCAAAAAGGTAATAATACATGATGTGCTATGAAGTTGCTTGATTTTCTTTTGGACATTATCTTGTAATTTATTAGGCACATCCTAAATTGTCAGATGGACATTGCAGACAGCTAGCTTTTGCTCCATAGTGAAAACAGTGCTACTTAGTAGGAATGAATGAATAAATGAACATGACAGCTAGTTGGTAGAAATTTTAAAGCTAACATACATTATTTCAGCCAAATTGGCTGACCCATTTTTGAGTTCCTGATACATATTATTATATTTCTCCTTGCTATTCAGCTGAATAAAAGATACTGCCTTTGCTGTTAGGTGTTACCAGAGGCATGGCTCCTAGTGCTGTTGAATAGAAAGATGGTGTGCAGCTATTTCTGCATTTCCCTCCTTAACACTTTTTTCCTTAGTTGGAAAACACGGAGAGTTACAAGAGGCAGAAAGTGTTACCTGTTTTCTTCCACAAAGAGGCAGGACATTTACATGCTGCCTCCCTTTCCAATAAAAGAATGAGCAAAGACATAGGAGAAAAAAACAACAACTTATCCAGAAGCATTCTAAAACAGAAAAACCAATAGCATAGACCCTTAAAGCATTCAGTGGGTTTTGTTTTATGGAACAAAGAAAGAGTGTAGTATTTTCTTTTCTCTTTCCTTTTGGAACCTGTCTTTCCTAAATAGGAATGCAAGATCAGTTTTGGCGTAATTTAGGAAGAAAAGCAAGCAGGAATAAGGCAGTATGTAACAATACACCATCTGCTTTATTATAGCCCTCATTTGTTATGAGAGCCAAAGAACTTTTGAAAATAAAGACTGGGCCAATCTTCTTGTCAGTCCTGAAAATACAATGCTTTTCAGCTTCAAGCAGCACTGTTTCTGCCCCATTCACAGAATTCTCGCTGAACAACAAAGCAGCTGTCAAGGAAGTAAGGAAGCCTATAGTGTTCCATTTGTTAAGACATAGATTTCTTTGCATTTCTAACAGCAGTTAGAAAAACCATTGGGTGCCATTGCAGCATGGCAGCTCTCAGCAACCCAGCATATAGCTTTTTCTGGCATCTGTAATCTATTTCCTAATATTCTGTTTTGCAGCCCATGGGATCAGAGCAGATGGAAATGCGCAAAAGGCAGACCTCTGCATCCCAGGAAATATCAGGCGCCATCCTGGCCCAGCCTGGGGTAGAGACTCGAGGCTCCCATCCCTGTTGCTTCTGCTGGTGCTGCTGTTGCAGTTGCTCCTGGTATGCCTTTAAAATATACTCAATCCACCCAGAGGAGGGAGGAGGGCAGATGACAGCTAGTCACCATAGGAACATAGACATATGTCCCTTGGGTAATCAGATAAGCAGGAAAAGAAGATACCTACAGTAAGCTAGGCAACAGCTGTATGAAGATGAAAACAAAATCATGCTCTTTGCGGAGTTGCATAAAGATGCAAATAAAATTGATGCTATTCATACGTTATGTGTTTCCCATTATGTTTTTGTAACAGGATAACTTCATTCACAAATATATTCTAGATCTATAAAGTTGGAAGTGGTTTAAAAGGCTAAATGGACCAATGATCTGATTCTGGGTTAAATTAGATTATTCATAAAATGTGAATTGCACTACTTGGTGCTCCAATTTTTGTTTTTTATTTCCTGTAAGTACATGATAGACCACTGAACTCAGGATGAAGAAGCCTAATATCTCACCCCTCCATTTATTGGGATAAATATACAGTAAATGCATATGCAATGTGTGAATGTGTGTGTAGGTAAAAAACATTGGTGCAATTGGAACTTTTTAAAGTTTTAAGATTTTTCCAAAAGCCTGGAAAGAAGAAAGCTACCAGGTACTCTCAGTCTGGATTCTGCCACTCTGCTGCTACAATGAAGTAAATAAAATCCAGACATGAAGCAGCATGAAATGCATTTCATAGGTAGCCTTATTTAGCTCTTATATTGTGAATGATAGGCCCTTAAGCATGGAAGCATTTCAGAAGATCATGTAATGTTTGATCCTTAGTAGATGAAAGACATGTTGAGAAAAAAGTAGTTTGAAACAGCATTCATGGAAGAAAGAAAATTAGATTACTGTCTCTACAAAGTGCTGGTAGATGAAGGATATAGCTTCAACCTGAAATCAGTATTTTGAAAATATATACTAAATGTAACTGTGAGGCAGAAAAGAGGGTAGTAACAATATTTATACATGAATAATTGCATTAATACCTTGATAATTCTTCCAGGAGACAGATTCAAAGTAGTATCTCTTCAGCAGTAGCATCTCTTCAACAAATTTAGGATTCATAGGCTGATACATATGGGACTTGCTTTGGTGGCAGCTGGCCTCCTCTGGGGTTGAAAATTAAGTAGGGTCAGGCCTGATTAATACTTGGATGAAAAACCTGAAGGAAATACAGGTAGTCCCTGGGTTAGGAATGCCTGGTTTAAGGACAACCCATAATTAAAACGGAGCCTATTGTAGCAAAATTTGAGTCAGATGCACAATGATTTGAGTCAGATGCACAATGGTTCAAATTAATTACACAATATTACTTGTACAGTATTATACAACAATACTGTTCTGGCTTAAGGACAGACCTTGGGAACGGAACTCGTTCTTAAACTGGGGACTACCTGTACAGTGCTTCAGACTAGACAGGGAATTGAGAAAATACTTCCAAAGATGACAGTGGCAAACCACTTCCTTATTGTTGCCAAAGAAATCAAAAAGGCATGCCTCTGAAATCATGAGTCAAGCTTGATTTGAAGAAGACTACTGACTATCGAACATGGAACACAGTCCTCGTGTTTATCTCAACTACAAAGCTTTAGCATCAGCCCAAGGTATATTGCAGCCGACTGGGATAACATAAAATCAGTAATCTGAAGTATTGTGCTCATACCACTGAGTTAACATACTTTTAGAATAATTGTCTTAGTTCTGAGACAGCACTGTAGTCTATTGGTGATGTTTTTGTAAGTAAACTGTAGATTAAAACTTTTACTCACGTCAGCATTAAGAGCAGCCCAGTCTACCTACCTACTGCTCTCTAGCTGTTTTGGACTTCATTTTCAAAACTGTCAGCCGACATTATTTTACCCAAAATAATACTTATAATAATACTTAGGTTGCCCGATGGTCTTGAAGGCTGTTGTTTTTATCACTGGCTCCATATTTGCAGAAAATCAGTTTATTGCTCACATAAATTTGAGATTGACAGGCCATTGGGTAGGACATAACTTGATAACTTCAAGAGATCCAGAGCAGATCAATTTGGGCAGTTAATGATTTCTTTAATTTGGAAGCATATATTTCAAATAATAAGTATCTAAGTACTTCAAAGTTCTTACAGTATTATTATAAACATTTATTCCACTACGGACAAATATAAAGAAAAATACAAACCAATTTCTGCATGAGCTTTTCATTTTTATTGCATATAAATGGTTATTTTATCCAATTTTATCACTTTTAAAAATAGATGTACAGTTACAATGATGAAAAACAGTTGCTCAGTTAAGTATTAAATATTAGTTGTTAAATCACCAGATATCTGTGATGTCAAAATAAGTCCTACTACATTTAGTGGCCAGGAACATGACCAGAAGTAGAATAGTCTCACAAAATAATTTATTTCTTTGGAATAACTATTTTAGGGACAAAGAGAAATGTGAAACAAACTACAAATGAATGCTCTACTTATACTCTAAGTTTACAAAAAAGCATTTCCTCCAATAACCTGAATGAATTAGAAAGAAAAAAATGAATAGTAATAAGAATAGCATCTTAAAGTACAGAATCATCAACATTCAAAGCATGTTTGTACTTTATAGAAACTGTCTGTGAGGCATTTATTTATTTGTTATCTGGAGAAGGAACATTGTCTCCTTGTACAGTTTTGTCTGGGATTTTAGGCCAGAGTTATTCTCAGTTGTTGTTAATCCAAATAGCCCTGCTGTACAAATGTATTAAGTTCATTTGCATTCCACCTTTAAAGATGGTAGTGTGTGTGTGCGCGCGCGCATCTCCTAAAATCTGTCTCTCTCTCTCTGAATAGCGATATAGACAAAGCACAATTAAATATAGCTAGGAAAAACTTACCTTGGAGGCAAAGGTGGCAGGCTGTAAGCAATTTTTCAATGGCATATTAACCTTCTAGGACAAATGGAAGTTGCATGGTATGTTTCAACCAGACCTAAAAAAATCTAGTTCAAATCCACCTTTAGTTATGGAAGTTTACAGGGTGACTTGGGGCCAGTCACTAACTTTTACCCCAACTTATTCCCCTTATGCCATTCTTGGGGGAAAAATGTAAGAGGGAATGTTATGTATGTTACTTTGAGCTCTTGGATGAAAAGTGGAATATAAGTCTGGCAAATATATAATAAATAAGTTCAAAGGCAGTATTTGAAAGTCAGTAAAGATAACTGCACTTGAAACAAAAGCAAACAAGGAGGAGATAACATCTAATGATGTTGATGTTCTTATTTACCATTCCAAAAACCATTCATGGGGTAGGCAGAGTGAGAGAATAGAACATGTACCAATCCCTACAAAAGAACTTAATTCCCTCCCCAAATCTTGGGGGGAAACTTCCATTAAATAATACCGCAGAAGCCAAAATGTATCCTACAATTAACCTAACCTCCATCCTGCCCTACTCACACTACAGAGACGGCCTCCCGTTCTCATTATTATTCCTCCGTGCCATCTCCATAAGGCTGTTTTACTTTTTTTTACTCAACCAACCACTCCAGTGATTGCTCCAAAGTCTGTTATGTGCCTTTCTTCCCAGCTCATGGTGCTTTCTTGTTTTCTATTTTTTCTCCTAAACAGCCCTCCCTTGACTGATGAACAATTTTGAATTTAAGTGTTTATTGGCTCTTAGAAAGCCTTTTTGTTGGTCCTTTACATCCATTATGATTTTAATTTTCTTTAGTTCCTGGGGCATTTCCTGAGGAATATTTTTTACATTTTTGATCCCATGAACTTGTATTTGTGGATGGGTTCAAGAATATCTCAGCTGATAACATTCAGTCCATACCACTATCCATCAGATTACTGTCACTTGAAGTAAACATTATAATCAGCTGAGGTTACATTACAAGAAAACAAAACCTTATCAATATCCAACCATTAATTGTATAAATACCCACTAGATTCTCAGCTGCAACAGGACTGAAATCGGAATTTTGGATTTCAGTGAAAGGCAGGTCCAGCACCATATGCTTGACTTAGATCCATTAAAACCTTGAAAAGCTAAATATATTAAGATCATTGCTCCCATCAAAAGCAGATTTTTGCCACTTTTTTTAAAAAAAAAGTAAAATAGTCCAATCAAAGACGTTTGACATTACAACTGCTTTGGTCCTGAACGTTTGAGGAGTCAGGGACTACGGCAAAATTAGAGACAAGGAAATTAGGACAACTATAAAAATATTGTGTATTTACATCACCTAGTATTGCAAAATGGGCAGAAATAGACAACTAAGACTGTAATTGGGTAACACTTACCAAAGAGTAAATTCCATTGAAAATTTATCTGATTCTAAATCACACGTATGTAAAATCACACTGCAATGCCCATTGTTTCAAATACAACATTCCCTATCCCGCAATCACACCACTTAGCCATTTCTTTCAAGGCAAGAAGGTGCAGCAATTCCTTCTAATGTAAAAGCTTCTTCGTTGATTTAAATGAGTTCAAAACATGAAGCAGTCTGATAAAGTTACAAGAAAGTTACCTCCTTGATATAAGGGGAAATTTCATAAAAACAGCAGAAAATACAAAGGATTGGGAGTTGTGGGTAGCATTAAAGTGCTAATTGTTTTCAGGTATGGTAAACATCTCTGTGTTGTGTTTTGGCATTCTTGCCCTCTTTCATACTGCAGATTTTCTAGAAGCAATCACATTTGCCGAAAATATTGTTCTTTTCTCTTCTGTCCATATTTTTAAAATAAAGCACGGACAACTGATGTATTATATGAGCCGATACTTTTGTAAGAAATTAAAAATGAGATGCCTTATCTTTCAATACATCAAGTTCAGAAGAAATTGCATGGTACATTAGCGCAGCTCTTACACTGGAGGAATTAGGTTGAAACCTATGTTCAGATATCAATCCCAGGGGTAAATTCAAAATCTCAGCAAATTGTTTATTTCAGCTTTACCAAACTCTTTATTTTATTACAGTCTTACCGTTAGGAATCAAGACGAGAGGACAAGGGCAGCAGCACATGAAATCAGATTAGAAATGATTCCATACTGTGAAGAAAGGTAAGGATTAGCTGGGCAATAAAGGCATTGTGTTGGATTAAAGCACTGGTCATTCTCAGATAGCATGACCATGCTGACTGGGAGTGATGGGAGTTGTAGTTCAGCACATCTGGACGACACCAGATTGGAGAAGGCTCTATTACCATTCTTATACCAGTTTAACATGTTTCTGTTACCTAGATATAGATCACTATCATACATACATTCCCCTACAGAGAATGTCCAGTTAAAATGTAGCTATGAAAATATGGAAAATTAATGCAAGAATCTGCTTTTCTTTTTAACACTTTATTTCATGAAAACATGAGAAAAATCAGACTCTGTTGTTTTATACTGCAGCCACAGGTTAGCACTACAGAGCATGAAAGCATTGGATATACTATATAAACATACAGCAGATTATTGCACTGTTTGGATCAGCAATAAACATACAACAGGATAACAAATGGGAAAAAATGACTGGCAGTGTCGTAATATCTTAATGAGATATTATTTACAACTCTTGTGCAGTTTTTTCATTTACCTAAATTGCTTCAAATTTCAGATTTACCAATCTGCATAAAACATCCTAACTTCCATATTTTCCCCCCCGTTTTCCTTTCACGCTGTGGTAACCGGATGTTATTTTTCATTCATTTATAGCTCATCACCTACTCTTGAAGAAGCGAGTGCTTGGGGTCAATCTTTTGACCAATTGATGAGAACACCTGCTGGTCGAAATGCTTTCAGAGAATTCCTTCGGACAGAATTCAGTGAAGAAAACATGCTTTTCTGGTTGGCCTGTGAGGACTTAAAACAGGAATCCAACAAGACCAAAATTGAAGAAAAAGTCAGGCGAATCTATGAAGATTATGTTTCTATCCTTTCTCCAAGAGAGGTTTGTAATGTTTTGTAATATCCTTGATTCTAAGTGAGTCAACCAAAGATGCAAAATGTTCCGAGCTGATCCTGTTCAGATGGTGCATCTTAAGATTGTTAAGATTGTTAAAACCCGATAGTTTTAAAGTGATTTATTTTGTAACATTTAAACATTTATTCTTGTGAGGTGGTTTGAGGGGATGGTCTTTTTAGGGCTAAAAGTACAATTGTAATACTTTAAAAATGTTTAAAAACTTAGAATATATTTATTCTAATATAGTGAAGAAAATAATTACGTTGAAAAGAAAGTTGCCTTTAAGCATACCATTGAGGATGATAGGGATAAATGCTAAAATGATAAAAGTAGGGGACAGTTGTGACACTTATCTTTCTAGAAGACTGACATGGTTCAATCGCATAGGACAGATTTGAAAGGATTTATTTTTTCATCCTCTTCCCATTGCTAATGAAGTCCAGCTACATAGTAAACAGTGATATATGCATAGATTTATTAAAGTCTAACCTTGTTGCAATTATATATACAATGCTTCAGAATACATTTCAGGTATCAATAAATATTAATCTTGTAATATTCCATTAATCAATTCCCACTTCTAATTCATACAATGGATTTTTAACATACAATTCTTGTCCTTTATTTGTAAAACAATTTTTTTAAAAAAAGTGTTTATACCTCATGAAGACAAGAGACTGTACTTGTGAAATCTCTTTGTATACATCCTGTCTTCTCTTGATTTGAGATAGAAAATTAATTTAGTCCCTGATGGAGGTCTAGATGCTTTAGTATGATGGATTCCAAAATATCCAGGTCTGTTTAAATCCATCCTGTTAACCATTTGAAGAAAACCATTTTTTTTTCTCCCTTCAAGGAAAAACAATGGCTATGGGTTTTAAAATAAAGGTAAAACACTGAGATGAAAATACAACGTTGTCAAATATTTTAGTGGTAACAGAATAGCCTCCAGTTATGAAAAACATCTATGCCATTTTCAGGTCCATTGTGATACTATCAAATTGTTTCCATTGCCAGCAGCAGAGTAGAGAAGGGTGTTACTGAATACTATTAACAAATTCATTTATTCACAGGTCAGTCTGGACTCCAGAGTAAGAGGAATTATTAACCGGAACATATTGGAACCATCAGTACATACTTTTGATGATGCACAACTCCAGGTTTATATGTTGATGTTCAGAGATTCCTACCCTCGGTTTATGAACTCTGCTATGTACAAGGATTTAGTTGAGTCTCTTTCTCAAAAATCTGCTGAATCATAGAATTTAAACATATTTATTTTGCATCTACCTACCTACCTACCTACCTATACAAATAAAACTTTGGCCTACTATCCATTAATATCGAATTTAGAATCAACAAGCTGATTACATAAAAGTAATTCAGTAAGATGTATATCTTAATACGATGGCAAAAGTGTTCCAAAGTTTAAGAATTCCAAAACTTCACATTATTTCCAGGATTGTAAGTAGTTTCTGCCTGAATGATATGTGATGATGAAAAATATATAGAAAAAAAAATTAACAGCAGGAACATACACTAAAATTCTGAAATGTGTACACAGAAAGAGCTTTAAAAGAACAATTCTATGATATATTTGGAGTGCTTGACTATCCAAGTGTCCTATCAGTGACCGGCAGGCAGTGCAGAGGAGAGCACTCTTTCTAGTGTTCTTCTTACTTTAAAAATGAATTATTAAGCCTGATCCAAGTTTTCCCCTGCATCAGGGGTCTGGCAAAGGATAAGGGAACTATTGGATCAAACAGATCTCAGTTCTTTCCATTCTGCTCATTGTACAACCCATACTACGTCTCTGATAAGATCTCTCAAATACCAAAGCGACTCATATCAGAATTGTTGGAAAGCTGTGGGGAAGAGTCTGATATTGAAATTTATCCTCCAGAGCCTTACCACTAATCTTGGACAACAAAATCCAAGAAATCTTATGGCCCTTGAGGTTCTGTCTACAGACACCTATTTTAGCCTAAAACTACTTAAAACATATTTGGAATAAAATGTTACATTTGAAGGTTAATTCATATAACAATAATATTTATTTACTGAAAGCATACCAGAATTGAACTGTTTGACCAAGCTTAAGAGGGTTTTGAGGGTTTCTTAATGCTATCCTGTCTTTGAAAGGAGTGATTACTCTGCACTCTACAAAGCAAATACTTGCTTTGATATTGAAATATCCACATGGTAATTTCTTCATGCTCATATGACAACTGGCTTTGAGTTCTTGAAACAATTATAGATCTGATTTCCCTCATTTTTCTCTCTACCAACATAAAGTTCAGCCTAAGCATGATTCTTAGAATCCAGCGTAATCCAAGGAAATTCAAGGAATTCTTCTGATTCAAGGAAAATCAGAGTTTCACTTACAGACTTTGGAAATTTATTGACAATTCTTTTGGGCATGAGTGTTTCTTCATGAGTAGCATGACAGCATTTCAAAATCAACAGCAAAGCAAAGCAATTTTACACATGAACAATGAAGGGCACCAAAGAGAACTGTCACCTATAAAGTGTTATCTTATTACCAAATCCATGGAATTAATTTTTGTTAAAGTTTCTAGAAAAATTAAAAAGAACAGGAGCTTGGTATTCACTGCTCTAAATTAAGCATCCAATATGCATTTCAGCTACTTTCATTATGTAAATGGCAATCATCTTTGTTTTGTATATTCATAAAGGGAAACCAGTTTAATCTAGCAGTATCAATTTGTTAACTACTGAACCTATTAAAATCTTGCTTTCATCCTGATTTTGGGGAACTCTTAATAGTTTTCTACTGTTTAACCCAGCAAATAGCCTGGGATTTTCAAAGTATACATACATTATGAAAACTAATAGCACTGAACATCTTTCATAAAGAATGACTTTACATTTCTTTCTTTCTTTCATGATTATTTCCCGCTATTAAAAACATTCACTTTGTAAAAAAGAAGAGGTCATAGAATTGGTATCAACCTTGTCCCAAATCTCTTACCCTAATCCCAGGTTGGAAGCTTGTGATTGCTTTGGGTGGAAATGTATATTACTCTCACCAGTAATATTAGAATTCATCTCTAGCTTTAAGTATTGGCTCATGAGATTGCATCACATGCTGCTGACCATGGAATCAGAATCGGAAGGGACCTCAGAGGCCACCCAAGTCCAACTCCATACTCAGTACAGGATCCATTAGTGCAACCTCAGCAGATGACAATGTATCCTGTTTGAAGACCCCTAATGAAGGACAACTCACTACTTCATGTGATAGCCTGTTATTGAATGACAGTCAGGAAGTTCCTCATATCTAGCTGAACCTTCTACCTTATGTGCACTTCATGGTTAATCACTGTATGCCAGTATATCACTACACATGTATCTTCACATACACAAAGTATGAACTACTGGTTTTAGCTATAAAAGAAAGTGGAGCTAAAGTTGGTGGCAACAAAAGGATTATGTAAATGTCAGAGTAAAACAATATTCATGATTATATTTTTATTAAACCTATAAAGGAAGTTTTTAAAAAATGCTTTAAAAATTAATTACCTCTAAGTCAAAGATATATAATGGTGGAAAAAATGTGCAGAGGGAGAGGTTGCTCAGAATCTCCCTCATCCTATTTATATCAATAGAAAAATACATGCAAATTTTGCTCAATGGCTGGTGTTTGTGTGGGTATGTGTGTATGGAATATCCTCTAGCAAATAGCAATAAATTAAAGATGAATTCCCTCCCTTTTCAGAAACAGATTTAATTATGGATTTCCTGTGGATGTTTTTTTATACCCACATGAAGTAAAAAAAAAAAAAGATATATTAAAAACAGATTCCATTAAAATAGAATATAGAGTGGATTTACATGTTACTTTTCTTCTTTCCCAGTCTATAATCAGTATTCCCACTGGAGGAGTGCAAAACAAAAACATTAACTTTGGCTCCTCCCCACTGGGAGAAAATACACAGGTATACTAATTTACTTTTCTGTTCAATGCAGCAGGCTAGAGATGTGTTTTTATTTTTCCATGTTAATCCATTAAAAAAAAAACTTATAATGAGCCCTGTCACCACACAGTGTCAAGGGAGAAGATATGGAACAGAGCTGATATTTCACCTGTGACCATAAGTTCCATTACCTTAGTCTGTAAATAAAGTCAACTATAACTGTATGACTCAAGAGAACATGTTCCACAGTATTATTCTGAGTTAGAAACATAGAGGAAAGTACCTCTGGATATATCTTTGGTCCTCATTCTCCCTCCCTATTACCATTTGACTGACTGATAAAGTGCCATCAAGTCAGTATTAACTTTTAGTGACAACATGAATAGATTCTCTCCAGGGACTATTACATACATGATAATATATAATACATGAGATACAGAGAAGTCTACAGTTTCTCCTCAAAATAGATGCAATTTAGAGAGATAACATTTAATAAATATTAAAGCAATGGAAGAGGAAACCACTCTGTTTAAAAGCCCAGAAAAATATGTGTAATGTTTGTTCTAATGTATAAAATAATATATAAAATTATAATATTAGGATATTATAAACATGCATACTTAGAGGTAAGACTAAATTTAGTGGAGCTTGTTTACAGATAATCAGAGAACTGCAATTCATTAAAAGAATGTACTGACCGCACATTTTTTTGTAACTAAATAAAACTCACAAGAAATATAAAGGTAGCACTCTGTGCTGTCATAACAAAGACCTTTGTTTTTGCTAGGAAAATGTTAAAATTGGAAGTAGGTATCAAAAATAGGAAGTAGAGAATATTATTATTTGGACAGAAATCATCATCACAATATGGGCTAGCAACATGCATGGATATGGAATTAAAGTTATAATATTACTGAACTCTTGAATGTACAAGCTATCTGCAATAGTTACCTCAAAGGAAGGGTGAAAAAAGTAAATGAAATGGAAGGGCTAGGTCGGAAGGACCTTATATGCAAGTTAGTTCTAGAGTCTTCAAACTAAAACAAAGAGCATTAAAAAAAAGAAATCTGTAATTTACACAGAACAAAGACAGCAGTCCCTCTACACAGAAGTAAATACAGGATTTGGGAGCTGTATTCACTATTTGGCAGCCCTACCCACTTATTCAAAAAATGGATGTTGCAATAAAAAGCAGAATAATAGCAGTGCTGAGCATTTAAGCATGCTTCTAACATCTCCACTCAAGACTTTTTCAAAATAAAAATGAATCTCTAAAGAACATGACCAGATTTCAGCCATCAACATGATTCACAGTGCTAGGGAGCCATTCTCTACATCAAGTTCCCACTTGTAAGGAGTAACATCTCACTACTGTTGGGAGCTTAATAAATAGATTATGCCAAGTATGCTGTATTAATTATATGGAATAACAATGTAAAAATAAATTCATTCATTCAGTGTTACAAGTACTGGAACCTAGGCTGTATATATATTCTCAATTTGCCCTGAAATGAACTCAGGCTAAGTGAAGCGTTTAAGTGTCTTTGACTCAGCATTTTGCAAGAAGATTCAGATTTACCATCACAAAAAGTGAAACCTACTGTCACAGAATCAATATACCGCAGGGTTTGAGATATGAAAGCTATTACTATTCCAGGCCTGGCATTTATCAAGCAGTAGGACACCCATTAGCAACTTGTAACTTTCTTTCTCTGACATCATCGGTTAGAGGACTGCCCTTTTTATATCAATAACTTTCACAGAACATTTATACTGTCCAGGTATCCTTTTTATTAGAAAATATTAAAATTGTATGGACACTTCTATGTAGGACAACCAATTGATACTAACTTTGGGAGACTACATTTTTTGCCCCTTTTAATTTTTGACTTCATCAGTAAAAAGTTAAGATGCAACTAAATACATACTTCTAGATTACCGAAAAGAATTCACCTGTCATTAAAATTGGCATCACCATATACTATAAACCTTACATAGAAGAAAGAAAGCATAAACCTTACAGAGAAGAAAAAGCATAAACAAAAACAAAAAAAGAAAAAAAATCAGAGCATTATTTTATGTTTACGTTTTCTATTGTCCTAGTTTGGTAAACTTGTCTTTAGAAATGTTAAAAAGATGAGTCATATTTTTTTAGTTTAAAAACAAGTTTTTTGCCACTTTAAATATAAATTTTATTTACATACAGTTTTTTTGTGAAACAAATCCATTTCATTAGATGGAATACATTTCTGTGAGATTTTATAAATTCATATAATTATAGGGAATGAGGAAGGAAAAATGTTCTATAGCTGAAAGTTTCTAACTACTCCCCCCTATTATTACTATTTTGATAAGCATATGACTGCATCTGATTTCCTGCAAGAAGCAAGCCAAAATGTTTAATAGTGCTATCTCAGGTGGTCCTTACACCCATAAAGATTATACCAGTCAGCCCAATTGTGGCATGTGGGGGTGTGGAGAGGGGGAAATGGTTTGTGACTTTTTATACAAACAATAACTGATCCAAGAAAGGAATCTACAAATATTCTGATGCCACACATACAGATTTAGCTTGGGACTCCTCACTACCCTATAATAATCATTTTTAAAAAGTTCAGGTTTGTGTAGAAAAAGACTATTTCTAAGTAGATATTTAATTTTGTGGACATTAGAACTCATTTTATTTATGTCACAAATACAGTGGTACCTCGGGTTACGAACTTAATTCATTCCGTGACTCTGGTCACGACCCGAATTGGTCGCAACCCAAAGCAAATTCAATTTCTTTGGAGCCATGCTAACAAGCA